CAGGAGGCTGAGGTAAGAGGATCATTGCAAGTTCACAACCAGCCTAGGATACAAAGTGAGTCCAAGGCCAGCCTGAAGCGCATATCAAGACCTTGTCTCAAAGGACAAAATAAATAAATAAATAAATGGTTTCAATTTGACTAGGCTTAACAATGGTACAGTGTTTGCCTGGCATCTGTGAGGCCATGGGTTTGATACCCCAGTACTACACACACACACACACACACACACACACACACTCACAAATCAAACTCTTATTTGCAGGATTCCTTTATTCAGTTAATAAATATCTTATTTACAAGTTAAATCATACGGTTATTGTTTTAAAATAGTTATGTGATGTACTTACCCTTGCTCACAGTCTCACACATGCAGATTTAGTATCTTTGTACCTGGGAAGGCTATAATGTTAAAATGCAGTAGGACTGAGGGTAGGATCAGGAGCTTGCCTGAGACCCTGGATTAGACTTGCAGTGCTGCAGAAAGGAATGTAACAAAAGCAAAGAAAGAGAAAAAAAAAAGCAAAGAAGGGTGGGGTTGGGGGTGGAACTCAGCAGCAGAGTGCACAAACCCCAGGTTTCAGTCTCCACACCACAAAAGCAAAACGAAAACAACACCAAGATGCACTGTAGAAAAATTTAGAAGTATCAAATAATGAAGTGAAATCTAATTACTGTTAGCTCAAATAGGTTCAAAATTGTAAAATGTAGACATGTAACTGTTCAGTATAAATTACAGAATTTGTGCCAAAATATGTACAATATGGATTCTTCTTTAGGATACTGTGAAAAATATTAGAGGTCTACAGAGGATATTATTTTTTATGGAGGATATTATTAATGCCAGATACAAATGCATGTAACTACCTAATAAAGCAATACTAACATTTTTAATGAAAAGCATTTGATCAACCTTTGGATCCAGCTATTTTAACTGAAGTCCTTGTTTTTTGTAATTTTACTCATTGAAAAATATTTATTTGCTATGCTTTTACCACCACTTCAACAAACCAATCTTTTAAAATGAGACCAGGCTGGGCACACACTTATAATCCCAGCACTTGGCAGGCTGAGGCAGGACAACTGCTGCGAGTTTCAGGCCAGCCTGGGCTACAAAATGAGATCAAGGCCAGCCTGAACTCCATAGTACAAGCCTGTCAAAAGAAGACAGAAAATAAAATAAATGAGACCAAAATGTTCCTCCTGGATAGCCTGTCCACAAGAATGATTGCAGGTATAGCTTGGCATTTAAGCACTTGCCTAGTATGCATGGGGTCCTGGGTTCAATCCACAGCATTACAAAAAGAAAAGAATATCAGCTGTAGATGTAGCTCAGCAACACAGCGCCTGTCTGGCAAGTGCAAGGTCCTAAGTTCGATTCCTGGTACCAAAAATATATATGAATAAATAAAAATAAAAAGCAAAAAGGAAAATCAAATGCACTACCATACCAGCCCTCACACTCAAAAAGGGCCACACCTAAGGGTAACTGCCTTAAATGTCCCAATTGCAATTGTGTAGATGTGAAAATCAACATATGCTTAATTTTGAAACCAAAATGTGGTTGATATTTTATGATATGGTCTACCACAAGTGGACAAAAACCAGTAATTAAAACATCTAAAAACTGAATTTCAGGATGAGCTTTTAATTAGAAAACACTCTTCTACTTAAAGTATTTAAAATGTTGCCAGGTGTGGTGAAAGACATCTATAATCCCAGCGCTTGGGAGGCTGAGGCAGGAGGATCCCTTGAGTTTGAGGCCAGGCTGGGCTACATAGTGAGTTCAAGATCAGCCTGAACTACAGAGATGTTGTCTCATAAAACCAAAATAAGTACAACAAAACAAAAGAAGTATATATATATATACACACACATATATAAAAATGCATTTCTATAAACAAATATTTGACATAATTTATGTGAATACTTCTATATATTAAATCACAAACTATGATTTAATTTATATATATTTAAGCATCATCATAGGATGATTATAAACCCTCTAGTATGAGTAGCAGTATTTTTTTGTTTGTTTGTTTGTTTTGGTTCTGGGGATTGAACTCACAACCATGCACCTGCAAGGCAGGCACTTATGCCATGAGCTAAATCCCTGGCCCGAGTAGCAGTATTTAAACTAATGCACTCCTGTACACCAAAAGGCAATTAAATTCACCAAAACAGTGAAAACCCATTCTTATAAGGTCACTTATAACTACCTACACAGAAAAACCTATTCCACATAAGGAAGAGTCATTGTTCAACCAATCTGCCATTACAAGCCAATTTAATTGGTCATAGTGGTACATGCCTGTAATCCTAGCAGTTGGTAGGTAGAGGCAGGAGGATCACTGTAAGTCTGAGACCTGCCTGTGCTACACAATGAGTTCAAAGCCAGTTTACACTATGTAGCAAAATGCTGTGGCAAAAAACAAAAAAATAAAACAAAAACAGAAAACCCCTCAGCTTTTGATAGCAATAACCTCTTCTACAGATGTAACTAAAAGGATGTCTTTTTTTGTTTTTGTTCTTGAGAAAGGGTTTCACTATGCAGTTTGAACCGGCCTTGAAGTCAGTTTGTAGCCCAGGCTGGTCTCTAATTTACATCCATCCTGCCTCAGTCTCCCAAGTGCTGAGACTATGGGCTGTACCACCACGATCAGCTCTTTTTTTTTTCTCTTCAAAATAAAATAATAATTTAAAAAAAACTTCTCGATACTAATTCATCCTAAGCTGAGAAGCCTTTAGAAAATTTTTAAAAATCCAAAATGCACTCTTTCAATGCAAGAATAAACAGAAAATTGAAGATTTAATTAGTTGCCTAATCCATTGTTCTAAGTTTTTCATATTGAACTGATTAAAATTAAATTCTAAAAAATAAATGCACCCAAAATTCCCATAATAAAGAAAAATTAAAAATCAAGGAACAGGGGCTGGGGATTTAGCTCAGCGGCATAAGCACCTGCCTTGCAAGCAGGCAGGTCGTGAGTTCGATCCCCGGTACCGATAAAAAGAAAAGAAAAAAAGAAAAAGAAAAAAGGCAAAAATCAAGGAACAGGCCAAGAATATAGCTAAGCAGCATAAGCACAAGATCCTGGTACAAAAAAATTGAGAAACACACTTAGTTTTGTTAAATATTAGAACGATAAATACCTCATATAAGCCTATTGTTTTAGTGAAGTACAATAATTTACAAATATAATCTTAAAATCTCAAAAAACCACAACTATTAACTAACTTTAAATAGCTAGATAAGTTAAATGACTGTTCAATTAAATATTATTAAATTAGCATAATTAAAACAAAATTAACTTTGTTCTTAAGAAGTTAAGCTAGTATGTCAAAGTATAAATCCTACTCAATGAGGCTATTAAACAAGATGCATTAGAAAATGTGAGTAAATTATATGAAGTATTTCTCACAAATGATAAATAATCTCCGTTTAAAAATATTTTTAAAATTTATACTGTTCCGGGCTGGGGAGTTAGCTCAGAGGGATAAGGGCCTGCCTCGCAAGCAGGCAGTCGTGAGTTCAATCCCTGGTACCGATAAAAAAAAAAAAAATTATACGTTCCTATAGGATCCCTTAATTGGTCAGGGTCATAATTGAAGAATGTTAGTCAAACATCAGCTGGGAAAGAACCAAGAGAAAAATGGTAAGTGAAAGTTTGAAAAAAAAAAAAATAATAATCATTCCCACTAGAATACACCAAGAGAAGTGCTTACAATAATTCTCTAAAACAACTCTGCTACAGGGAGGGAGACAGAACTCAACCCAGACTATTAAAAATCCTCAACCTCAATATGCCTTAACTTTCCCCTGGTCTACAATCTAACAAACTGCAAAGACAATGAAAATAAACACTCCTGCCTGGCCTCAGAGAGGCACAGAAAGCTCTCATTCAATTGCTAAGCCTTATTCCACTGGAAAACACACTCTTGAAAAGTAAATCCAAAACCACGAGCTCAGACGGCTCCATGCAGAATTTACTGAATGGCGGCCAACCTCTGTACACACTGTCCTGACCCGCACCAAGGAAAGGATATCGAGAGTCCTGCATTCTCCACTTACAACTTGTTCCTTAATGTGCTTTCGCCACCACTGGTTTTTAAAAACGAGACCAAAATGTTCCCTTTCGCTGGCTTGTGCATAGAGAGGAAAGAAGGAGGAAAAAAAGCAACCTTCATCCTCACATTTTTGTTTTCTTTTTTTTGCAATATTGGTCTTTGCAATGCAGCACGCCTTTTTAGCCCATCCACAGGGAGGGAGGAGGAGTTCTGAGTGTCCCAGGCCTGCCGCGAATGAGGACCCCGAAATAACTTTTAACCGGCTTGGCGTGGGCACCAGCACGACACAGATCACCTGTTAGAGCGGCGCCGCACTTACACCCTCAGCAAGTGGCCGAGGGCGGCGACCGGTCCCGGGCGGCAGGTGAAGCGGGGAACGCCCTTCCACACCCAGCGGCGGCGGAGAGGACCCCGGGGAGGGGGGAGGCGGCCGGCCCGGCCCGGCGGGCGCTCCGTTATCCTCGCCCTCCCCGGCCACCACCAGGTGCGCGCCGCGCCATCGCCCGGCCCCGACGCCGGGACCCGCAGCCGCCCGGCCGGACGGCCAAGTTTCGCTCCCGCGCGGGCGCGGCTGCCCGGACGCCGCCCGCTCCCTCCTCCGAGGGTCCCGCCGCCTCCTCAGCGGGGCGGCCGCGGGCGGGTCGGGGGTCGCCGCCCAGTCACCGGGCGGGCGGGAAACAAAAGCCCAGAGAAGGAGCGAGCGCCGCCGGCCTCGGCCCGTCAGGGGGCGCGCGGCGGGGCGGGAGGGCCCGCGGACCCCGCGCCGGCGCTGGGCCTACCGCGCGCGTCCCCTCGGGGCTGCCCCGGACCCCCGGCCCCGACGCCCCGCTCCCGGGCTTGAGGGGCTGCGGGAGGCGGCGGGACCGCGAGGCGCGGAATTCGGGGCACCGCGGCCGCCCGCCCGCCCCAGCCCCGCGGCCATGGCGCCGGTACCTGTGGCCGCGGTGGCTCGCCGGCTCCGTCTCTCTTCGCCTCGCCTGCGCGCGCCCCGCTCTCCCCTCAGCCCGCCCAGCAGGCCGCCCGCGCGCCGGACACCTCCGCCAGAGACTGGCAGGGCCCGCGAGCCGGCCCGAATCCCCGGGGCAGCGCCCGGCGTCGTCCCGCCCCCGCCGGCCGCAGGACCCGCCTCCCATAGGGCCCTGGGGCTGTCAGTCCGCCCCCAAAACGCGCGCGGGCTGCCGCTCTGCCGGACTGGATTGGTGGCCGCGCGCCGTTCATGCAAATAAAGCCCCGCCCCCAAGTCATTTGCATCTCCGCTTCCCCACACTAGCCCACGTGTCTGGCCCTTGCCCTTTGTGGGGGCCCTAGAGGAAGGATGGAGGACGCTGACCAACGCCCTCGCTCATCATCCCTCACCTCCGGGGAAACCAGTGTCTTCGCGAGCTAGTTACGACTACTTCACTGTCCCCACGAACGCTCTGCTCCTCCTTGCTGACCGCAGGCCTGCCCTGAGGCTGGAGGGCGCAGGCCAGGCTGGCCCGAGGCAGCGACTCCTGGAAGTCAAACTGCTCTGTGGCGGGGGAAATCCTGCCTCTAGAATCAGGTTGGCACATAGCACCTCCTTATGGACACCCAAGGACTGTGAAGACCGTGCTTGTGCTTGACTTTACCTTTCAAACGTGAAATCTTAGGTGTTTAAGGCAAGAAGGTACCTTAAAAAGGGGCGTCTTCTCCCGTGGCCCACCTCCAAAGAGTCAGGCTGCTGAGCAGACTCCCTGACCACCAGGGGCCTCTCAGGACTGCACCCAGCCTCAGGAATCTCAAGGTCATCCCCTTCTGTTTTAAGGAGACAAACCTGGAGTTCCCTAGCTGCGTAGTAACCTGTGGGACCCGAGTTACCTCTGGAAACCTGAAGTCGCCTAGTTGGATTAGAACTCATGTCTCCTGGTTCCAGATTTGTGTTTTGCACTCGTTCACATTCAAGCATTGATGAAGAGCCTCTTGTAGACGTCACCATGCCAGGTAGTGTTGACTTATTCATTCCTCGCCTGCAAGAGATGAGGTCTGAGCCTGGAAAGCAATCCCAACACTTGGAGGAGGCTGAGGCAAAAGGCAGGAGGATGGTGAGTTCAAGACCAGCCTTGGTCACATAGTGAGACCCTGTCTCAAACAGTAAACAGAGTTGGGGGTTGGGGATTTAGCTCAGTGGCATAAGCGCCTGCCTTGCAAGCAGGCAGTCGTGAGTTTGATCCCTGGTACCGATAAAAACGAAAAAGACAAAAAAAAAGAAAACAATAAACAGAGTTGGTAGCTGCAAAAAAGTCAAGTAAGCCAATGCTGAGCCATTGTTTGTAGGCAGGAGCCCTGTCTGTCATTTGTCTTCAGTTTCTCCTGGAAGCCTCCCCCTTACCAGGTTCTAGGCAGTCACTGACATGATTTATTTGTGCATTAATAACACTGGTGATCAGAACTCTACAGTCTAGGATGCTTACTAAACACAAGTACTAAGCACAATGCTGTGCAGGTGAGCAGATTTTATGTTGGTCCTTCAAGGGCTTCACCCTGGGGAACAGGAGACATCCACATCACATTTCAGTGCTCCTGGGTTCCAGGGATTGTGACAGATGTCTGCAAGGGGCACGGTGGAGGGCCCCACAGAGGGAAGAATTGGCTCTCCCTGTGAGAGGCAGGGAGGGCTTCCTGAAGAGGTAACAGAGAACCACCTTAAAGGAGTGTGTGTTTGCCGGAAGGAGGGATGTGGAGGCAGGGTGCGGAGGGCATCCTGAGCAAAAACAGTGGGAGCTGAAGTCTAGTAATTGAGAGAACAGCAAGCAGGAGGGTGGGCAAATCTGCAGGACTGTGTGAATGTGTCATGTGTTCTAGGACCTGGCTTTTCCAGGAGGAAGACAAGCCCGGGAGGCTGCCAGGTTGTGTTGTAACACACCACAGCAAACAGCAGCCCCGTAGATACAGCTGCTAGGCTTTTTTTTTTTTTTTTTTGGTCTAGGTCAGAGTCTGCAAGGAACAGTCAGTTCCACTATTCCGATGACAGACTGGCCAGCCCACCGCTTCCCCAGCAAAGCACTCTGATCTCACCATTGCGCTCCTGGGCATTTGGAAGCACAGGTGCTTGAGTCTCCCCTAAGCATAACTGCCCTTCGGACACAGAGATTGGGGGCCTTGGCAGCGGAGGCTGGGTATGGGCTGAGCTCTCTTTTCTAAACCAGGGAGCCGCTTTTCAAAGAGCCTAGTCTTCAAGCCTGGCTTCATGGGTGTGTGGCCCCTGCAGTTATACAAGAGCCCCAAATTAAAACCCTATGGTTGGGTTGATTCTCTGCTAGTCATGTTGTAACACTCAGTAATTTTTCAAGGGACCCTGAATTTCCTCTTCTGCTGGCCCCCGCAAATGCTATAGCCAGTCCTGCCTGTCACTGAGTGTCCCTAGGCATGCTTGTGATAGGACGCAAACTATGACTTTTGAAAGCCTTGGCATTCACTAGGTTTGTTCTCACTTGTCTCATTGTGAGGCTTGATTCTCACAGTGGTAACCTGAGATGGGCAGCTTTACTTTATGTTTTCATTTATTGATAGAGGAAACGGAACAACCCCGGGCAGGTCACTCAGCTAGTGACCGAGCTTGTACTTGAACTCAGCCCTACTATGCGGCTACCCCCAGCCTGTTTCAGAATCCTTTCAAAGGCAGCTTTGCACAGCAAGGAAGCACCGTTTGAAAAACTAGAACACATGTAGTTGACTAGCTGTCATTTCGCCTTTTGAATAGTTTTTCATCAGTTTTGGACAATGCTCTGTTATTATGTGTTCAAATACTGTTTCTGTCCCCTTTCTCTCTCTTTTTCTCCCTGGGGCTCCAGTTGAAACACACAGTTAACCTCACGTCATCTCTTTCTTCTGTGTTTTCTATTTTTTGTTTTGTGATTTGTTCTAAATTTTTTCTAGTTTTCAGTTCATAAATTGGCTTTTCAATTTTGTTTATTTTCAGTACTGGAAATTGAACCCAAGGAGTGCTGGCCTATATCTTCAGCTGTTTTTCATTTCTTATTTTGGAGACACAGTCTCCCTAAATTCCCTCAGCTGGTCATGAACTTGCAACCCTCCTGTCTCAGCTTCCTGCGTAGCTGGAATTGCAGGTGTGTGCCATGGAGCCCCGCCATCCACTGAGCGCCCTTCGATTACTCTTTTTTTAGTTCTAGCGTGCTTATTTGCTGCTTTTCACAATCTGCTCTGCCGTTGCTTACATTGCCACCCTTGGATTTCCTTAAATATTGTGAGGCAAGGCTGCTTCATGGTCTGTTTCCGACCCCCACTTTCCGTTTTAGCTACTGGCTCTTTCTTCTGTTTTATTTCCTCTTTCTACATAGGGTATCCTAAAATCCAGTGGCTTAAAACAGACGTTGGCAGACTTTTTCTTAAAAGGAAAATAGGACAGAGGCTGTCTGTCACATTTGTTCCATTCGGCCATTATAACACAAAGCAGCCATTACTGTACGTAAATGAATGAATGGGATAGATGTGTTTCATTAAAACTTTATTTACAACACAGGCGGTAGGGCCAGGGATTTAGCTCAGTGGCTCAAGCACTTACCTGGTAAGTGCAAGGTCATGAGTTCTATTTCTGGTACCAAAAAAATAAAAACAGGGGGCTGGGAATTTAGCTCAGTGGCATAAGCACCTGCCTTGCAAGCAGGCGGTTGTGAGTTCGATCCCTGGTACCGGAAAAAAGAAAATAAAAATAAAAATAAAAACAAAACATAACAAAAAAAAAAAATGCAGTGATCTTTGGCCTGAGGACATCTATGGAAACCCACAGCTCCATTATACTTAGTTGTGAAGACACTAGATGCTTTTCCCCAGGAAACAAGACAAAAACAAGGTAAGGATGTCTACTCCAACCACTGGTATTTAATATTGTACTCGAGGTTCCAATCAGGGCAATTAGGAAGGAAATAGAAATAAAACAGCATATAGATTGGAAAAGAAAGAGTAAAACTGTCTCATCACAAGCAGATTATCTTGTGCATTAAAAAAACCTAAGGAAGCTGGGCATGGTAGTACACACCTGTAATCCCAGCCCTCAGGAGGCTGAGGCAGAAGGGTTGCTTTGAGTTCAAGGCCAACCTGGGCTACAATGTGAGTTCAAGGCCAGCCTGAACTTCATGGTGAAACCCTGTCTCAAAGAGACAATCAATCAATCAATCAATCAATCAAATGTACTTTACAAGAAAATATACTTTATCATTAATGCCCCACAAAATGTTTCCTCTTACTTCAGAAACATCCTATCATTCTTGCCACTTTGGTAGAGACAGGGTTTCACAATGTAGTTCAAACTACACTTGAACTCAATGCATAGTCCAGACCAGCCTTGAGCTAACTCATGGCAATACTGCTGCCTCGGCCTCCCAAATGCTGAGATTCTAGGCGTGTTCCACTACGTCTGGCCATTCCTGACACTTTCTGAAGCAGTTCCGAATGTCCTCTTTCATCAGTGTCTTTAGTTGTGCCCATCACAGATAACTCAATGTTCTGAATCAATTGAAATATTTACCTTAATGTTCCAAATTGATTCAAAACATTTACCTTTCAGGACTTTGGGGAAGAGCCAGCAGCTGCACAGAGCTAGAGCTGAGAAATAAGGTGGATAGAGCACACTGTAATGTTTTTACTAGCCCGTACATCAGTGGGTGGCACCCTGCAGCGGCGTCATTGTATGTTTGTATCTCACATCTCACGAGTATCCTCACCAAAGAGAATGCGTTAGGAAGTGGGGAAATGATGGGATAAATGTGTTGGAAGTAAGAGGGGGATTCTTTTGGGGGGATTAGTAGCAATGTATCTTTTACCTTGACTTTTTTTTTTTTTTTTTTGTCTTTTTCCTTTTTATCGGTACCAGGGATCGAACTCACGACTGCCTGCTTGCAAGGCAGGCGCTTATGCCGCTGAGCTAAATCCCCAGCCCCAAAAATTCCTTTTTTTTTTTACTTTATTTAAAGGGAAAAAGAGAAAAAACAAAACAAAACAAAGCAGTGTAAGGGTACAATTAATACAGAGCTACAAAAAAAAAAAAAAAGTAAGAAATCACCAGTTAATAGATTACAATTATCATCT